TTAAGCCTTCATTTTAAAATTAAAGGTATAGTCATGCTATCTCATAAAAGAAATCTTATGACGGAAGATAGTTGAAGTCTGCAGAGCAGCAACAAAATCCAAGCCCAGCTCAAGTATTCCTAATTAATTCAGTTAATTTTCACATTGTAACCTGACAAAAGAGTTGTATCAACTATTCTCTGTCTAGCTCCAATTAAAATTTACAAAGCTTACATATATTTCAGAACAAAAAAAGAATAAAAGCAATCTATTGTTTAAGATAAAGTGATCAATAAAACTATACACTAGGCTGACCTGGATATCAAAATAATTAGAAAGAGAATTTAATTAATTGATAATTAATTAATTAATTAAGGCATCTCCCAACAAAACATCTGACTTCACATTCTTTTAATATGTGTGTGTTCAGTGTGCATATGACCAATATAGAAAATATTCTGGCACATAAGAGAAGTCATAACAGTTTAAAAGTATTGGAATTTCTGACCTCATGGAAATCAACAATACTTTGTGGAAAATTTGTAAATATTTGGAAAGTCAACAACATAATTCTAAATAATTCAGGCAGGCAATACAGAAATCACAGTGGAAATGAGAAAATATTTTCAATTTAATTAAAACTGGAGTACAGTATACCAAAATATGTGGGGAAACTGATAGCCTTTATCATCAAATGATCAATTAGAGAAGAAAGGCCTCAAATTAATTACTTAAGTTTTTACATGAAGAAAATAGAAAAAGAAGCGGTTATAGCCAAACTAAAGAGAAAATAGAGAATCATAGTGAAGGTAAGAGCATAAAGCAATGGAACTGGAGGACAAAAAAATTAAAATCAATGGCATCTAAAGCACTTTCAAGGCCATTTGTGGGCACGTGTAAAGTACTAGAGCCTTTGAGTTGTCCATGCTTATTCCCAGCTGTGGCTGAACAAAGCAACGTTTTGCCTTCTTTCAGCATTTAGGCCATAAATAAATATACTTTTAGTTGATTTAGTGTCACATTTTTTGTATTTCTGTGGTTTTTGATTTTCTGTGATTTAGCTATTTCAAAGGACCCTCAAAGCACAATGCTGAAACACTGGCTACCGTTCCTAAATGTAGAAGGTTATGATGTGTGTTAGGTAGAAAATATATTTCAGATATATTCAGGCACGAGTCATTGTGTTGTTGACTGTGAATTCAACTATGTAGTTGGTTCATTAACATTATATATATATGTTAATACACACACATATATAGCAAGGTACTTTAAAACAGAAACACACCTAAAATAAGGTGATGCATGGCAGGGATCTAACCCTCCACATATTTCCCCTAGGAGCAATGAATCAATATTCCTTAATCCAGTGGTTTTGATATATTTATAGAGATAATTAACTTTAAGTAACAAGTATCAACTGTTAAGAAGGAAATATATTCAACTCCCAGTGGTAGTTGATGAGGAAGACAGTGTATAAGTAGGGATATGAGGAATTTTATTGATAAGAACTAAAGCTGAAGTCAAACCACAAGATGTTGACTGCTGTGAGCAGTGCTATTACAGGTGCTTGTTATTACTTATAATTACTTAATTTACTAAAATTAAAAGTCCTTTGAACACCACAATTGGAAGAAAAGGAATAAGAATGTGGTCACGATTAAAGGTATGTTGCCACATGACACAGTGTGTTACAATAAAGTTATATGTAAAATCAGCAGTAGTATGAGCATGACTTAATCAAAAACTAACTTGGAAAGGTAAATAACTGTTACAAGGCCAGGGTAGGGTTTACCATGAGGTGCAGTCCTGTCTCAGCATTATCCATGTTAACGCAAAGCTGGCATTCATTTGATAAGTTTAGAGGAAATGTTATTATGGATTTCATTGTCAGATGCTGTTGCTTAAAATGTTGCTGCATGACAGTTTATTTCTGTCTAGCATCTGATATCATTGTGCTGCCAAATTATAAAGCCACATTTCTATCTCAATAAGGAATCAACACCTATAGCTTAATGTCTCTCAGACAGACACAATGGGATATTTGGGTATTCTGCCCCAAGATAAAATATCAGGAAGTTACATTTTCTACTATTTCAGTAATGAATATAGTTAAGTATTATCTCCAAATACCTATCTCCCACACAAAATAAAAAGACTACTATTTGCCACATGATTAAGAAGGATGAAGTGACCCAAAATCCCTAGAAGAAATAGCATTTGTGCACGCAAAAAATCCTTTTAAGTGAACTAAGTAAAAGGACACTTGGAGATACTATCAAAGTTAATGAGAAGTAGGGACACCATAGAAACAACACCATTTACAAATCCTTAGTTCCAAACTAAGGGATGAATTAACTTACAACAAGTTGAATAAGCACAAACGTTTGTTCAAATAATATCGTCACCTTAAAAATAAAAAAAAAAAGAATTTTAAGAGTTCTTCCACATGAAATTAAAGAAAAGCTTCAATTAACCAGAACAAGGGGGAGGGTAGAGTTGCTGTAATCGCATTGTCTCAATTCTCTGCTTGGCTAGGGGCTTAAACAGAAATGCCTTGTCCATGAAATTACCAAAAGTATATCACACAACTTTCTGCCCTTTCTACCTAGAATACAGTTACTAATAAATATATCTAATATTTATTGGACAGCTGCCATGTAACTAGTGCTGACAAACATTCCTTACTCACACCACAAAATAGGCAGGCTTCAGTATCCCATTTTCACAAAGCAAAAGCTGAGGTACTAAGACATCAGGTAAACAGAATGAGGAGTGGATGCAATCTCAGATAACTAGGGATCTTTCATCACTCCCTTCAAAAACTTCTGGACTTTAGGGAAGCCATAATTCTCTGAGACAGTGAAGGTGTAAGACTGAGTAGGATTCTGTTTGGGTGCTGATTCATAGTCAGAACTTTGAATATATTTCTGGGATTAGGAAGCTTCTATGTCACTTATATTCAAGTTCTAGGTGTAGAGTGGGGGTGGTTTTCTACAAATATTAGGTAGCAGTGTCTATTTAGTCATTACTTCATAATCAGTAGGGGCCTGTATTTCTGCACTTCTGGTGAAGACCAGTGCATGGCCAGAGGGAAGAGTTCTGACCATATACAAATTGTTATCTGGCAGCATTGCAGAAATAGGCGCCATAAGAAAGCAACCATCTCATTATTTCGTTGGGCATAAAGTCATATAACCATGTCTTTAAAATTATGTCTCTGCTCTCCTGAGGAAATGGAAATAAAAAACATGGAAAGAGGACAGAAAGCTATGCTTCATTTTCACTAATAAAAAATGCCGGAGAAAATGCAGGCCATGGTAATCAAGCTATATAAAATAGTTGGAAACTGCAACAATAAGACATCTCCATTAGTAAGTGAGTTTATTGACATAACTGAACATAACAATGTATAACATTTATTCATTTCTCACTTTCCAGTGAAATGGTTTATACATAGATCCAGGAATTAAGCATTTTTAGTGATGTTCTGCACTTGAAAGGGTAGGAAAAACCAAGATCATTTCAGACTTTCAATGAGTCTCAACATTACACTGCAGTGCAAGAACAACAGCAGAGGAATGGGATCTGAATGCCTAAACCTAAGGGCCAAGAAAGGTGAAAGGCAGCTCAAAGGTTAAATATAAGAGCAAACAACTACACCTCTCCCATGTACCAAAATGCTCTGAATCTAAAACAGGCCCTGGCAGCAAACTAAGAATGACAGTCCATTTCCTGTGGTTTATTAAGCTTTGGCCCCACAGATAAGACTGCCAGAAAAGCAGCTGTATTTTAAGTGGTCTGGACTTTACTCATCTGAACATAAACAAAAATCAGCTCATTTAGATCCCTGGGACCCTACTCAGCTGTTGGGACAAGGGCAGGACTGGCTCAGTCAAGGCCAAAGACAGAAAGAGTGGACAGGGTTGAAGGACCCCTGGGCTGAGATAGATTCCTGAGTCATGAGGCTCCTCAGGGGTTTAAGGCCCTAACATAAGTTTCACTGAGAACCTTAGCACCATTGTGGTGGCCTCTATGGCGCCCCAATGCCAACACAACCACGACCACAGTAAATAACCACTGTGGTACTCTCTAGGGACTGCATTTTTAGACCACACACAATTACTCATGTAAACTAAAGCCCTATTTTTAGTGATAAACATGTACTACATAAATATCTGGGAACGAAAGTATACCAAATAATTGAAAACAAAGAGCAAATAAAGGAGTCTAACCCTAAGTTCAACACCAAAACATTTAAAAGAAATACTGCAATTATTAACTAAAAGATAAGATTTAATAACACAGTAAAACACTGGGTAGTGGCGAGATTAATTTGTAAAATATAACATTTCACAGTGAGGTTTAAGAACTTACAAAAATCTTATGGTTTTAGTAGAAAGACACTCATTGATAAACTTTTTTCCAACAATTTTTCCCAGTCATTTTTTTCCCCTTCTACTTTTCCATGTAGAGTAAGACATTAACATGGCCAGACTTGAGAGTATCAATAGCAGTCATCTTTTGATCCCCCTCTATTAGGAAATGACCTTTATCACTTAACTGTGCAACTTGAGAGAAGTGGGGCTCAGTATGTCAATGAAAATAGAAGCACCACATCCTGTTTATTCCAATCTGGACACATTATCAGAAATGTGCACTTTAACTACAATGCTGGTGTTCCTCATGGGGCCATCACTTATGTCATATTACATTCTTTTATCAAGTCTGCCATTGAAATGTCCATATACAAGCTTAAAAATATAAAGTTAAAAAGCCACAGGAGCAACCCTAACAGAGAATTCTTGCATGCAACCTCATTCTAGAATGTAAGTAATTCTGGTTAATCCCACCATCAGCAAACATTTGTGTGGTGTTAATGCTAACAATTTTAAGATAGTTAAACCAATGGCTGAACTAAACTAGTCCTTGAGTTTATCAGTCAGTTTGTTAAATGTCAGAGCTCTTCACATTGTTGAAAAAAAAATAGTATCTCTAATTATTTAAACATTAAGTTTTCCTGAATGTTCTATTAATCAACATGAAAGAGTTCCTTGGAGTGTGTTAAACTTTACCACCTGTTTACGACATCACCCTTCTTGGCAGAGACCACAGAGCCAGTGGGGCCAGTTGCCAAGGCTTCTTTATAATGGTAATAAGTTCCTTTTTCCTTAAACAGAAAGAAAATCCTTCTGTTTGACAAACAAAAGGCAATGCATCCAAACCTCTTTCTGGCCCTGTTGGGGGCTCAAGCACCCTTTTCAAACCTTCAGGGGGGCCAGGCTAGTGTACAGCACCAATGCCACCAATGCCATTCTTAAAGCTGCACCAAGGTCTCCACATAAAGACAACCTCCCAACTCTGGACCCCATCATCCATTTGCCTCCACAACTTGGCCTTGACCACCCATGCCATCCATTTACTCTATGAGTGACTTCTCGGAACAGGGCTGGTGGTGGTGGCCAAATGGGTTGTCTGTCCCTTTTGGCCTCTCTGGCAAGTGTACAAAACAAGGAAAGGAGAAGGTCTGATTAAATGAGATCTTCTCCTCAGGCAGGGTGAGGGCCCCCCTGAGCTGTGGTGGTTTCCACATCTTCTGGGGGTTCTGGACCTAGTCGGCAAATCGCTGTAGGAGATGGTCATCCCGTCTCAAGCTTCCGCCCGCACCACCACCCGCACTGTCCATGAAGCGGTCGCAGGGAAACTCGATGAGGTCGGCCTCGCTGAGTGCGCACACGGTGGTGCGCGGCCGGTGGGACTGGAACCCAGAGAAGTCGGCAGACACTCCGGTGCCCATGGAGCGTAAGGGCCTTCGGGTGGAGTACATGTGGCGAACGTGCACTGGTGCCCCGCCCTTCCTTCTGGCCCTCAGCTTCCTCCGCAGCCACCGCGACGCCCAGGCCGCCAAGGCCAAGAGCACCAGCAGCGCGTTGACAGCCAGCAGGGCCAAGGTCAGCAGCTGGTAGTCAACGCTGCCTCGGCTCCCGGGCTCCGGAAGAGTGACCAGTCCGGCGCAGTGGTCCCTGGGGGCCACCGGACAGACCCGGCCCCCGAGCACGCCCTCCACGCACACCAGGTACGGGGTATCTCCGCGAAGCTCGCGCAGGGTAGCCGAGTCGCTGCGTTCTGGCAGGTAGACGAAGCGGTGGAACTTGGGCTGCTGTCCAAAGCGGTCGAAGAGCAGGCGGAAGCGCGCGCCGCCCTGTGGTCTGGGGCTGCGGTGCTCGCGCACAGCCCAGCGCACTGAGGCGCTGTCTGCGCTCACTGTCTCTACGGTTAAGTTGCACAGTATAAACTTGTTGAAGTCGCAAGGGTCTGACACCAGAGGTGGCAGGCCGACCCCGCCGTCGGAGTGGGCGGCGCTTTCTTGCTGCTTTGCAGACAGGCGCTGTTTAGCTGCGCGCTGCCAGGGATCGCCTGCGGGTGGTGATGCAGGGCTGGGCACGGCAGTCTGGGTGGGCTCTGCGTGGGTAGGATTGGCCGGAGTTGGACGTCCCCTCTCGGGTTTCTCCAGAAGGTCCACAGGGTGTGGCGCTGGGTCCACAGCAACAGCGGAGGGGCCAGGTTGCTGGAGGGCGGGGCCCCGCCGGCTCAGCCTCAGAGCGCTGCGGTTGCCCAAGAGCTCCCTGGCGGTCCCATCCCAGGCCAACCCAGGCAAAAATCTCCCCCGCTGGTGCGGTTGAGGCTGCGGTGGCAGGTCTACAGCAACGCTACCTGTAGGGGGTGCCATCTCCCGCGTAGCTGTGGTTGGGGACCACCGACTATCCCCGTTGGTGGGGTAAACGGAGGGAGACGGATCCGTGCAAGATCCGTTCTGCAGCTGTTGGTCATCCAGGTAATCCAGGTACTTGCCCCTCAGGGCCGGTGGGTGGCGACACTGTACGAAGACAGTGAGAAGCCTACCCTGCGAGTGCCAGTCTCCCATCCAGCGCTTCAGGCCGCGTAGCCTGCAGTCACAGGTCCAGCCGTTGCCGTCTAGATCTAGCCTGTAGAGAGCCGGACTGGCGGCGAAGGTGTCTCCAGAGAGGACGCTGAGTGCATTGTCGCGTAGGCTGAGCTCGCGCAGCCGGCCCAGGTGGCCAAAGATAGAGGGGTGCAGAGCAGACAGCTCGTTGCTGCTCAGATCTAGCGCCTCCAGACTGTGCAGGGGCTCCAGCAGCGCCTCGGGCAGCTCGCTCAGCCGATTGCCTTCCAGGCGCAATTCACGCAGGGCCTCCAACCCCCAAAAGGCCTCTGGTGCGAGGTGCGTGAGCTGATTGCCCTTGAGAGACAGTAGGCCGAGACGCGGCAGGTGTTGGAAGACTCGCGGCCCGAGATGTTGCAGACTGTTGCTCGAGAGGATGAGGGTGGAGAGGGAGCGCAGCGGTGCGAAGGTGGCGGCGTGGCGCAGGGAAGGCTGCAGCTCGTTGGCAGAGAGGTTGAGGAAGCGCAGCTTGCTCAGCTGGGTGAAGGCATTCTTGCCCAGAAAGCGGATCCGGTTGGATTCCAGATGTAGGTACAGCAAATTGCCCAACGGGGCGAAGACAGCGTCCGGCAACGCCCCTAGGGCATTCCCGTCCAGCCGCAGTTTAACCAGACTCTCCAGGCCCTCGAAGGAGCCTCGGCTTAAGCGGCTGATCTCGTTCCCATTGGCATAGAGAATACGCAGTTTGCACAGAGGAGCCAGAGTGCCTGGGGCAAGTGCCTGCAGAAGGTTGTTTCCCAGGTAGAGTTCTTCCAGTCGCAACAGCTTCTCGAAGGTCTTGGGGTGCAGAGAGCGGATTTGGTTGTACTGTAGGTCCAGCCGTCTAAGCTGTCCCAGGCGGTGGAAGTCGAAAGCTGTAATGTTGGTTATGAAGTTGCCCCCAAGACTGTAGGTGAGCACGTCTTGGGGGCTCGGCAGCGAGCTGGTCTTGGGCACGGCGCGGAGGCCCCTGTTTGTACATAGGAGGTGCTGGGGATGCTGGCAGTCACAGCGTTCGGGGCACACAGACTCGGCCCTTGGCCCGAGCGTGAGGCAGCCGCACACCACCAGTAGGAAGCGCACAGCACCGGCAGCCTCCATCGCCGCCCGCCCAGCGTGCTGCGGCCGGATCGTCCTTTTGGCCCGCCCGCACCGTGTCTCCTCTGCATTCCCCTTGGCCTCCCCAGAGTCGCTAAATGGCCTCTTTCGGACTGCTGCGCCGTCCTGCCCCTCCTGCGCTCTTTGTCCCGTGGCTGGCCGGGGTCTCTGCGGGCGGCCTTTGAACAGTCAAGTCAGGCAGCACCGGGTGCTACTTGTTGCATTTCTGCAGAAAACTGTTTCTCCGGGTGCGCCTCGGGAGGCGGAGGGAGGGAGCAAGTCCTGGCGCTTTTTGTTTGCGGCTTGAGTCCGGAGAGCTGGATTCCCTGGCACGGATTCTCCCCGCCGAGCGGATTCCCCAGCTGTGGGCGGGAGCCTTTCCAAGAGCTTGTCGGGGCGCGGCTTGGCTGCTGAGCCCCGGCAACTCGGCCCCCTCAGCCCGCGTCCCCCCGCTCTGGATCCTGCGACGAAGCGCGGTCTCGGAGAATCAGCTCTGGAGGAGCTGGGTTGTGCAGGCTGTGTCCGGAAAGGACCCAAGTTGGCGAGTGGCTAGCAAACCAGGCGGAAATTCATTCTTCCCACACTCTACCCCCCGGGGACGCAGGCGGAGAAAGAGGAGACGGCGGAGAGAGGACAGACCCCAGCTGGGGGAGGAGGAAACGCTAAGTGGCTCCGCGTCTGGTCAGCCCGAGTTTGGGACGCCAAGTGAGAAAAATAGGGATTAAAAACAGCTGTATAGGTCGGACAGGCAGGGCTGGGGGCGGGGGTGGATTACCGGGCGAGCAGTGGGGATTTGCAGACAGAGACCTTTTTCTTTTAGGAGTACACCAGTCACTCCTGAGCTGTGAGAGTGAGCCTCTTACTAGTTTTTAAGTCTCTTGCCCTTTCAGGTGCCACCCTGAGGGAAGATTGGGCAGCAGCATTCTACAGAAAGTTTTGGGGAGCAAGATTGTCTGCAAAGAGCTTTTAGAGCTTTTCTGTCAGAAAAGCTAGGTCAACCCATTCTGAATGCTGAGCATTTGGGGTTTTGATATTTATATTAGTAGCCCAGGAGAGTCATCTCCCACTTTCAGGAATCTGAATCCAGTATTTGTTTGGAACATGGAGGGAATGCAGAACTGGTTCTACCATGAAAGGGTCTTCTTCAGATTTCGATCCTATTAATTTCCTGCAATCTCACGTGTACAGATATGTGACTGTACATAAATATGCACATGCATATATGTAAATGCATGTATACACATATGTATGATGCTGGTACACATATGTGTATGTATGTATATAACACTGGCCAAATACTTGAGCTTGCAATAATGATATTCAAAGTCTTTTGGCCTAAGTTCTGAAGCCTGACTTGGTCAAGGAAGTACTATCACTGATGGTCAGTAGGGAATGGAACTTGGTCAGTGATTCCTCTGAGTGTTGCCCATGCTGAGAATGACAATGGACAAGGAATAGCTGTTAATTACTATTTGTTCATGCAGGCTCCCTTGCTAAATAGTACTGCTGCTACTCCTCCCCACCCACTGATGTTCAGAAAATGTACTTTTAAGGACTTAACTCTGAAGAAAATTAAAGGAAAGAAACATATCCCCACTCAAGAGACTGACATTGTTAGGGAAAGGGCAACCCATGGGAAATTTAAATTGAGAAAGCTGCTGAGGTCCCTGTGATTTTTAATGATTCCAGTGTTGGAATCATCAGGTGAATTGCCTCATTTGGAAAATCAAGTAGGCAACTGAGAGAACCCCATTCTGAATTTAAAGATGAGATCATGGCCCATGGTCAGTGAAGACAGTGGATGAGTGAGGACCTGAGTTCCAGGTTCCTGAGGAAGTGAGTACTGGATAACTAAAGGTAGTAGGTAGCCAAATATCCACTCAAGGTAGCAGAAGCCTTGCTGTGATTTGTTTGTGATGGCCTTTGAGAGTTTCCCGGTAAAGGGGAAGCATGAGAAACCAAGTGTTTCGGTCTTAAGAGGAGAGGTGAAACTGCTCAGGTGTTGGTCTTGATTCCAGTCCTCTTTGTAAAGGTATGGCTGCCCTACAGGGAGATCCATGGATAACACAAGTTCTCCTGATATGAGCCCCAAAGTTGTTAGGAGGACCTCCAGTTCTTGGTGGGAACAGAAATCTTGATTTTTCAGAGGAAAGAATAAGAAGCTACTGGTTTTCAAATGGACCCACTGGTTTAGGAGGAATGCAACTGTGGCAGCATCGGCTTTGAGCCCACTTTCTTAGAACACACCTGCAGCTCTCTGAGCTAGGAGGAGGTTGAAAGCTGAGACAGATGCAGAAATCAGAGACTACTACTCCTTTGCAGGAGCTTCATGGCCTCCTGACTTTTCCAGAAAACTGTAGGGAGAGCAGGGGCAGCAGGCAGTGTCCCCTCAGAGGGCCACCAGAGTTTGGACTAGTCACTCACTTTGCTGGCACTGTCTTTTCTTTATAAATGCCTGTTAAGTGAGCCTTGCAAAGTTATCAAACTCCTGCAACATTTTAGAATTTTAAAAAATATCTTTGGTGTATTATTGTCCAGTGTTTAATATTTCTACCAGTAGTCCTGAATCGCAAGTAGAAATAACATCATATGTGGTTTTATCAAAAGACAATTGCTTTTCCATAACACTCCATTTTCTTGAAGCAATCCATGAGTCACACATAGTTAACCTTGAAAAGGGATCTAGTGTGCCATATTTCACATAAGTATAAACAGTTCCTTTTAGGTGTCAGCCCAGCTTCAATAAAAAGCAAGATTCTGAGCTCTATAGATAAGGTAGCAAACAGACACACATACACAAATGTGTGTGCATATAAATAGTTTCTGAAAAGGTGTGACTAGCTCACCATTTTAATAAATACATGCATCCCTTGTTAAAGGCTTAGAACCTGCTTTTTACAAATGAATGGCCTTTACATACGTCCCGTAAATGCATGTGATAGTCCTCATGGGCTGCCAGTGCTTCCCATATGACACATATTCAGGTGTCTGATGTACTTTCAGGCCCTCTCATTCAGAAATTTAAAAGGTGTTTTGTTTGAATTTGGTAGTACTTAGAGCCCCTGATAGTGCAGAACTATGAAAGCGACGCCAAAACTGCATTTGCCTGGAGTTCTTATTGCTGTTGGTATTCAGACAGGAAGCATTTAGTGAGAACTTAGCACGTTCCAAATCCCAAGCGAAGGATGGGAGTGCCGTGGCTGAGAAGATGCAGCTGCAGGACTCAGGGTGCAACAGCTTAGTGAGATGGCTGATGAGCACAGTGCTAATGCAAGCCAGGTGGTGAGAGCAGTAGGGCAAAGCCTTAGGCACCCCAGGTGGGCACCTGACCTGGAATGAGTGCTCAAGACAGGATATATGCCTTTAAAAAGGGGTGGATATATTTATAAAAATGGTGATAGTCGTACTTTTTCAGAAACAATATGTGTGCACACACATTTGTGTATGTATGTCTCTGCAGTGCTCAAAATCTTGCTTTTTATTGAAACTGGATTGAGGATGCCAGTGACACCAACACAAATTCATCTGTGTTTTGAACTATATATTACCTTGCCCATACAGTGACTTCCAAGTAAATATTCCTTTTTTCTCCTTTCAGGATTCAGTAGGCAGTTGACAATCCTATTTGCGCTACAACACGGAGAATTATCTCTGTCTAAATAAACATAAAAGGTGCTAGATAAAGGAAATGTTACTTGCCTTTTTCCTGTCTTGAAATCTATCACAAGGACATGTGTGGGTCACTATTCCTGGGATACCCACCAAGGTATTCACATATGGAACATACCCAGAGTATGGTACGGACACTCCCTATAGCACTGTCTTGGACTGATGCAACATGGCCCCTTTCCTGGACTCTGAACATTAGAGCACTGTGGGGCAGTCCTTCTCGGCTGTTCTTTTGCCATAAGAGCAGGATTTCAGGCTTCCAGAGACATATGCCTTATCCACACCCCTGCTCCTGGAACCTTGGAATTCCTCACCCAGCTGCTGACATCTCTGCAGGCCATTTTCCCGTCTCTCCTCAATTCACAAGTATATGTGCTAGTAGAGCCAAGGGAAGGCAACTGTGCCTAAGAATTTGAGGGGTTGGAATTTCCACTGGGAGGTTCTAGGAGATCTCTTTGTAAGGCAGGAACCTGAGCTGGGAGGGGGAGCCATGGGCCAAATATGTCTGACACCTTAACCCCAGCTTCCCCAAATTTTGGAGACTGGCCTGTCCATCTGTGGCATGTTAGGAGGAGAAAGTACATGCAGTTTAATTTAGAAAAGCAAGAAAAGAAATTATAGAACTTTGAAGGAGAGCATTATTTTAGAAGTAAATTCTACTGTATTGCAATACTAACAATGCCTAATTTTCTACAAAAAGCAATAATTTTTTGTAAAAGCAACGGCATAGTTGTCTCTGTTTAAACGTCTGTCTGTAATTATGCAGTGTCTTTGTTTATGGGTGTGCCTAGACTTGATCAGGTTCTAGGACATTGATTGTACTTAAATGTATAACTTGCATCACCAATGGAAATTGGGGGTAGGGGGTTGGAGAGTGGGGCGCTGTTCACAAAAGAAGGGAAAGCATCCTCATTTCACTTTTGGAAAACTGGCCCTTTAAATCTCAAGAGTCCTGGGAGGTAGTTACAGAGGTCAGAGCAGAAGCAAGCTGGGGCTGGTCTCATGACACATGTATGTGGTACAAGGGCTCTTGGGTATTCTTGCCCAGGCATGGAATCTTCTTGGGCCTGCCAGAGATGTACTCTTTCTTCCCAGGCATGCTGTGGTCCCCTTGAACTTCAGCTGTGGAAGCAGGCAGGGTTCTAGGCCATGTGTTCAGCAGTCCTTGGAGCTGGCCTGCTTTGATCCAGGCACTGCTCTGGTACAGCACTAGTTAGGAGGAAGAGGACTCCATTTAGTTGCCCTCTGCAGGGAATGATAGAGCCTCTGAGGCCATATCCAGGAGCTTACTCAGCGCAGCCTGCAGAGACAGCAGCTGTTTCCTAACCCTGTATGAGCCAATCCCAGGC